GAAATAGATAACCCTATTATCATTGCGAAATGCCACCAATAAGTAAACTTAACAAGACGCGACTCTAATTAAACCACAATTTATTCGATTATACTAACATTAAACCTTTAACGAGTTTACATGTTTCATGATTATGGGCTTTTGTGTTGCCATATTTTGGAATTTAGACTGTTGCATGCTATCTGAGTTTAGAATGTATTATACAAATGATATTCATAGTTATTGCACCGTGGCAATGTAGGGTTAAACGAGTGAATACCAAGATATTGAAGTTTGAAATCAATGCTCAAGAGTTAGAGGGTTAAACATATAGATACATTTTGTCGGTGATGCGTCAATACGTTGCTTACTCTCGGGCAGTCGTTTCCTTTCATCAACAATAATGGTACTTAAGTTACATTACTGTAAATCAATGATGCGTTTTAGTCTTACTTTATTTATTCAATTTTAGAAAAAGTGTTGGTGACTTCAAATACAATATTTACTTAGAAAGTTCCGCACTTTACAAACTTTAAAAGATAGGAAGATGTCACATTAACATTGAATAGAAATATTTTTATTTTGATCAATGTCTTGTTCTCTAAGGTGATGCAAATATCTCAATGAATATATGGAAAATATTATTTATTTCATCAATTATTGGTAAATAAATAAATGATATATAAAAACTGCCATGCGTTTCTACCTTGAACGTTACACTAAAGCTAGCCGTACACTAATGGGACAATATCCGACTTTGTCCATCCCTAAGCCTTTGTCCGATTTGTCCCAACTTGTCCTCTCTTGCCCCCCCCGGACATCATGAGACATAATTAAACAATGTCCTAAGTTTGTCCTATTTTGTCCGATGTTGTCTGGGATATTGCGCCATTTTTTCCAAAAATATGATCATTACGTGATGAAATGCGCCTCATGTGTCCGGTAATGTTCCAAGAAAAGAATCAACATGTTCATTATTTTCTTGGGACAAAATCGGATAACGTCGGACAATGTCTTGGGGACAACTTGGGACAAAAAGGACAACGTGGGACAATATCCCTTGATGTCCCATGGGAATGTCCGAACGTGTCCTTTCATGTCCCATGAAAGTATTTTACTCCGAATAACTCCCTTGATCACGGTCCCATCATGTCCCATTGGTGCATGGCTAGCTTTACATGAAGTTGGAAAAGCTCATGTATTATAAAACGTACTTTAGAAGAATGATTATATCCTTTTAAAACATAATCTTCCGATCACAGACCCCTCACATATAGTGCAGCTGTGGCACTTTTTACAGATTATATTATTTCAAATATTTGGCAATCGATATTTGTAGATTACAAATGTAACGCTTTGCAATACAACGTATCTGTTATTTCATCAGAAATTTTCATTTATTGTATCATGACTGTTGAGGATCAATTTCCGAAATGAAAAAATATTGTTATTGAAATATAATTGATTGCAAAGGCGTTATCGAGACGTATTGTCTGAGAAGTCTACGAAAATTTATTTAAAAAAGTATGTATATGCTGTGTGTCTAGTCTGCAACTACATAAAACCCCAGAAGTAGCATAGTACTCATTCTGTAATACGACAAGTCGTGTCAATTCATTTCAGTGAGACAATTAAAATGTTCAGATAACTAAAAAAATATTAAAGATATTATATAAGAGAGGGCAGTTCAAAGAGGCAGACAACAGATCTAAACGCCTGGGTCGAAACAAAATAAAACAAATGTATTATTTCGTAGAACTGAATGTAAATTATGTTTTATATACTGAATGTGTACTTCTTACTTAACTTCGATTAAATGATTCATTAGTTTATTTATCCATCCGTAAAAACTCTTAACACGTTTCTTGGTAACATCCATAAATACATAAACAGATTTTATCTCCTGCCTCAACTTGGCAACCGTTCCATATCTAATTCAGTGACAGAAGAAAAGCGGAGTTGATAATTACATTTAGTCATTTACTATTCCAATTCATAGATGTAATTAATAATAAGCAGAAGGGTTCTAATGGCTTATCTAATGTGGTTCCAGACTTCTAAGAACTTTGTAATGGGATATTGCAAATTCGGTTAACGGTAAATGAGATTTCAGCTCTCAATGCCAACTCAGTAAAGAATTCTAAACGAATATTGACTGATACTCGTATCATATCTAAATCTAAAATAACATAAATGATGATCAATGGGATGAATATAACGGGGAATATAAACGTTATCGAGTAATATTTTACACATCACAACTACAGGGTGTTTCATATTATGTACCCCTTCTAAACGTACTATATACATGTAGCATTAATGTCACACCCTATAACATTGTGGGATCCACGGCTTCTACTATCTCTCAAGCGTTAGGTAAAGTGTGGCTCCGATAAATCTGAATGACCCTATCGTGTTATAAATCATTTCGTTCGTTGTTAAAACTGCTACATGTAGGATTTTAGAGGGAAAGCATCCATGTGAAGCGCCCTGTATTTCCAGGTATGAGCTTGTCAGTTGAATTTGCTCTTTATCGAACTTGAATGTCATAATTAAACATTTCTATTGTTTGCACACCACTAACTGGATATTGGCGTTGTGGTGTATAACGCAAATAAAGTGTCATCGGATCCTAAATCTGTGCAACAATTCCCTGCTTTTAGAAACATGCAATAAACAGAATAAATTATTACAGTGCATTATTGATGAGTGGGAGCCATTGATGATACCCTTGAACTATGTCATTAACTGAGCAATATATTCTTGGTTTATTTTTATCGAAACTATAACACATTTGGGGTTACGACACCTTGTCGACTGTAGCTAGACCAAGTTAAGAAGTTTACATAGAAAGTGTTTGGAAAACACAAAATGACTCGGGATGAACCGTAAAATTTCTCATAAATATTTACATTACTAAAATTCAGACATGGAAAATGCAATAATATTGTTTACTACTTTGTGAGGAAAATGAGGTCCATCTTGATTTCCAAACCAATACCCAACCCATCTTAGACCAACCTTTCCAATCCTTTTCCCAGTACAAATATAATGCTTAGAATGTCCTCCTGGAGAACAGCACTTGAAATTGGTATTTGGACAATTACTGAATGGTGCAACTTTACTTCCATTATCATCGATGAAATTAAGTAAAACCGAAAGAGTCTCTGGGACACGATGTTGGCAACGTATTCTTAACCTCCAACATCTGTTGCAAAACTGTCTCGTCGGATGTGAGGATCGAAGGCTTTATTCGATACTAAGCGGATGGTTTAAATAAGGACATAGTGAGCTTCGATCCGCGAAGAACTGACAACAGTTACTTTAAATAGTTTATCCCCAGCATTGAAGCGCTAACAGGCTTTTATGTATACTATACATTCCTTTATATAAAGGGATACATATACATTAAATTACAAAGAATGTGTAGACCAACTTTAATGATTATAACATTAAAAAATAGTACCGTGGGTACTGGGCTCACATGGTGTTGCTCAAAAGTGAATGATGGCTGAGATGGCAGAAAATTAAAAAAATGGATGTAATTTTTGCCGATTTAAAAAAAAAATTTTGTAACAAAATTATTTCATACAACTACTCTTTACAGTGACATGGATTTTTACAATGCAGGGCACCTGAAATTATTTGTAAAGCTAGGAAATGGGAAACAAGTGAATTTCGCTAGACAAAAATGGCGGCCATTTAAAAATAGGCGAGCTTTTGAACCAGGAGTCATAGGGGGGGGGGGGGGGGGGGTTCTATACTGATGTTGAACAAAAATAATTTGAAATGGGAATCCTGTTGACAAAGGTTTTAAAACTGTCCGACAGACGGGCAGACAGACGGGCAGACAGACAGACTAACAGACAGACGGACAAGTGAGTGATTGCAATAGCTGAATCAAGTGAGCTAAAAACTGAAATGATGACTATACATAGATAGATATATTTACTTATTCTGTCGGCTGACGTGCGATGTGCTATAAAATGCGAGACTGTCAAATCTGATTATTTTATCGTCCAAAAGATTTTCGAAAATGCACACTTTACTTCTTTTAAGCCACTGCTTTGTCGATGAGTAATCATCATGTAATCGCATCACTTTATTCCATCAGCTTCGATCGTCTAAATCTGAGGAGTGATGGCTCTCTCGGCACATTATGTTCTCGTGTTTGACTTTATAAAATGTGACAAGCTTGATCTCCCTGTTGACAAGAATCGCGTCTAAGCTTAACGTTTCCTAAACCATTATGGACTTTCTTTTCTTTGGAAAGGTACTTGTTAATTCATTTTATGTTGTCTCTTAGGACTTTTTGTTCCTTTTGATGTCGGTACTGGAAAATTAGGTGGTGTGTAATGTCAGAGGGTTTTTAAATTGTTGGGATTATTAAACCATTATTTGTACCCTTCAATTATTGGTTTACTTTTGATTTTAAGTGTCGGACAATGGGGGAGTTTTAAATGTCCCGAAATATTGTGTTGACGTCCGCGAAGAAGTCGATGAACAAAATATAAAGATTTCAGTCCTTTTAATTTAAGTTTTAACAGAGATGTTTGGGAGAAGTCAAAACAAGGTGTGAGGTTGAACTCATAGTATTTTGGAAAAGTGTGTAGCATTTATAGCGATTTCTATGTTCGTCGTCCATTTCCTTGTGTCTCGATATACCAACATATAAAACGACACAGAATCCCTAAAAGTGATCTTTACATCCCAGGGTTTTACAAAATGCAATGACGATGCCAAGGGGAATGCACTATTCTAGATTAATAGTGAAATAAATATTCGTTGCTCTTAATCAGTGCAATAACAATCTCCATAATTGATCTCTACGATTCACACTTCAGGTGAAAACAGATTTACACAAATTACATTTAGCCTCTGGATATCTACTCCCGTGCTTTCATTAATATTTATTTGCTCTGTTAATCAAGGAAGATTCTGCCTGTCGGAAGTATCTTAAAACATCGTATTTTCAACAAAGAGTTTCTGGTTTCTCGTTTGAGAGCTCTTGCGGTGGATGGCTCTAAAAGACACATAGGCCTACTTGAGACCGTAATGCTTTTTCTGATTTATTAAGGGCGACGTAATCTGATTGTGATAACGTGATCTTTCTGGGCGACAACTTTAATTTACGACAACAATTCGGATAGAAATCCTGAGAAGGTTTTAAAATTGAGTGATTGTTACTCAAGAATTGTAGTTGAGGGGTCTTTCAGGTGATCATGATCGTGAAATGACATTTATTGCGCATGACCATAAGCTATAAATGTGTCACACTCAAGAAATATCGGCCCTCTGGTAAAGAATTTGCGATCTTGAGTCCTCTTATGTGGCATCAACCAATGACCATAACTATGTTTAATCTTCACCAAAATTTTCATTGAAATTCACTTTTACACTCTAAACCTTATACAAATATAGCGTTATGAAAAGCTGAGTGACAACAAGTTTTCAAAATTGGACAAGAGAAGCATTTCTTTGGAAGAGGACTATTTCACTATTAGTCTTACCTCAGTTGACTTCTGGTGCAATGTGTCGTTGAACCCAATACTGGCGTCCTGGACGTTCTTCACACGTATGTATTTCTTTAGCACGGGCGTCTGTGACACAGAGGAGCCCCGGCGTGACGCACATTGTGACGAACCAGACCTACGTCGTCTGTCGCAAGATGGCGAGCTTTTTCGGCTATGAACGGGACTTTTAATACTCGAATGGTGATTTAATATACCTGGACTTGTATTGTTTCTCCGTACGGCTTTGTCCTTTCTAGACAAACGCTCGTGATCTGGTTTTGAATTGTCGTTGTTTTCTCCCGTACCGTTAGAATTTGAATCCCCATTGACATCGTTTACAGTTGTGTGGCCGTTTTCTTTGACATTTAAATCGCAATTGTCTGTTAATCCCGATTCAAGTTTCATATTGTCATTGTGTTGTTGAATCTTCAATTCACCTCTGACTATTATTGTTAGTTCATCTTTATTCTGATGTATTTCCAGACTTGGCGAGTCCGGACGATTTGGTTCGTTAACGTGACAGCTAAATGCAACGTCGTCAACGCTCGACCTTCTTAAAGTGTCTGATCTTGTAAGGGTTATCTTAGGAGAACCGTCTCTATTATCCTTCAAAATCCTTTGACGGTGTTCTTGGTTGGCTCCGATGCCATTGTGTTCAGCGAAAGGATTAGTTGGTACATTACCCAACGTCGGACTGTGCCCGGGGCTGCTGTTATCGCCGCCAAACTGTATAGATGGCGCACTTTTGTGACGGCTAATGAAGCGCCTGTGGCCTAGAACTGGTGACATTATAGGAGAAGGTGTAAGTGCTGGGACCCTTTTCTGAACTTTACTAGGGCTAACACGGACCTCGTCATTTATGCCGCATAATGGCTGGGTTACCCGGACAGTTCTTGGCGACCCCTCTGTATTGAAAATGGTCTCTAAATGAGTGGAGCACCCCGGAGGACCCCTAAGTAGCATAACCAAAGATATACCTTGTGTGATTGTTTTAAGAAAAGAGACCCCCTGGGAGTAACTCAATTGAGTAAAATCTGTTTCGTTTATACGCACGATTGTATCTCCGATTTGAACGAGTCCACTCTCTTCAGCAACTCCGCCCGATATCAGATCCGATATAGTCACTGATCCGCCACCATCTGTGTTCTCTTTTACCATGAACCCAAGTCCAGAGTCCGCTCGTTTTGTCAGCCGAACTCGAATTGTGTTCGGCAATGTATCCATCGTTTTTGATCTTCCGAAGCAGCTATCTATGCCTCTGTGTTTTGGTACGGGGGCAGGCATTTGATATCAGGGGTGACGCCTACCAAACGGTAATCTCCGATCAGGTATCAACGAGCACCTGGAATGATAAATGTCTTACAATTACAAATCAGCAATCAGCAATATACATGATGATGTCGATGTTTTTGATGGTGATTTCACGTATATGTATTGTATACATATCAAACGAAAAATGAAGTTGACAATTTGTGATAAAATTGTGGATTATGAATGGAAACGCAAAGATTTCTAGGCGAACTTGAAGACAATTAGAAACACGTAAATTCTCATTTAGTGAAATTCCAAACCAACTAAATCACTTGTTCTAAATAAGTGATTGTTATTTTCGAAACGCTCCAGTGATTTTAGACACATTTTTAAAAACGCTTTTACCATTTTATTTTTGATATAATTTTCAGATGATTAGAGAAGTGTTAAACGAGATTCCCACTGCCCCCATATACTATCTCTTGGTATAATAACTAGCGACAACACAGCAAAGGGAACGGTCTAGAATTAGAGGGGAAAGAAGACCCTGTTGAGACTCTAGTCCAACTTTGTGAAGAAGTACATTAGAAATCGATTCTATCAACAACATGTTGTACTTGTTGGGTAATTTGAAAATTCCATTTTGAAACCTACAACGCGTGAAATAAGGAAAAAGGAAAAATCGTACCTTCGAGGTTCCGACATTTTGGTACCAAAGCGAATCGTTTCGGTAACCAGCGTAATCAGGTGGATCACCAGTGGCAGTGTAACTGTTTTACCATGTAAACCCAATCTGGATTCAGTAATGAAACCCTATACCGACTGAATGTACACCCCGGAATAGCCTGACTAAGGTAAAGTCAGATGCCGTTGTCACAAATGGCCGAAATAACCGTCGCTTCAATTAGATTTTCATGAAGTGTATGTTAAATAGAGCACCTAGACTAAATTCCTCTGGAACAACAATCAATTAAAAAGTCTTAATACTCATTGTTCAGTTAATAATGTTCTACCATCGGAATAAGGTCTTTAATTTAACCGATCAAAATGAGATACGGGACAACGGACATAGTAATTACCATATGTACCGTACTCAAATTCAGATTCCGTTGTCATTGACAATATCGAAGATGCTCTATTGTGTCGATTCACGACCCAATTTGATCGAAAATGGTATTTCATAGGATACATTATCACAAGAGCTTAATGCATGCACAGAATTAGCGACGATAAAATCCCATGAAATGAGGACCAAGTGATTAAACAGTTGAAGCGACGGTTATGTCCGCCATTTGTGACAACGGTATCTGACTTTACCGTAGTCAGGCTATTCCGGTGTGATGTAGCAGCGTAAGGATCATGCACCGTGGCGGACGCGCCTTGTATCTTTACATATCATATGAACACGATCTGGAACTTCCGAAATCTTGAAAGCACGATAATTTGTTGAAAACTGATCATTCTTCACAAAATTTAGGGTTATTAGTATCCTCTTTGATATCCCATAATCATTTCGTAACAATAACAACACACGGGTAAACATTTTGATGTGATGGGTTATCATGTATTTAAACATGTCATTCTGCGTTTGCAACAAAGCAACCCATGTCTTACTTTTATGTCAAAACATATCTAATATAAATAGGCTGCGCATTAATATTGTCACTGACAATTCGAAAAAGTTGTATGGACCAAAATAAAACATGAGGTTCATTATAAACAGGCTGATAGAGTAACGTAGTCTATCACTTTCACATTTCATAAAAACCCAAGGTCGCACCTACAAAGTGCTTTCACTGAGGATACGAACATAAAAATACTGGGTAGATTTCTGCGTCCTTTACTTTAGCACGTACGTACAATTTCTAGAATTGATTCGTTATTGACCAACAAAATATAGACACAATCGTTAAGTTCTAGTACTCACATCGGTCGATAGGTTATTTTAAACAGCAAATTATCAGTTTTGTGTTTTTTCAACCAATTGGGTTACTTTCCTCAAACTTACCTATTATCCGTTCCATGAAGACAAACCTTTAGGAATGAAACATATACTGGCGATCTTTAGACATTTTCGAGATTGAGTTCTCGATCTAAATCCCAGTAACAATTTTGTCGTACGGCAGCCGTATTTATCGACATTTAGTAAATTGTATGTCAATGATTTCTTTCAAAATGCAATATTTAATTCAAAAAGTTTAAATTAGTTTTAGAGGACCTCTCCCCAAATGTATGGAGAGTCGAGAATGTTTCTCCCCTGTCATACTTTATAGTGAGTATATATAGTTACAATAATGGTCTGTACAATTATCAAAAAACATTCAAAATTTAAGCATAACTGACAGCTATTATTTAAAATTGTAATTTTCAACAAAATTAACGTATTTCACAGAACATTCACAATGACAGTGCGTACGATTTTAAACAAAAGTAACGCATCTCATTCGTAGCTTCTATTATTGTTTACAATACAGACAGATTCACTTCCAGCAAACAAGTAGTTGTTTTACTTACATGGTGATTTTTAGTATGTTCCTATTGATTGATATCTAGAAACAGAATGGTCGAATATGCTGCACGAGAATACTTTTAATGATGCAACAATGAACATGGTTCAAAACGCAGAATGTTTACCATTTTTTCGTTCCACTTTAATTGGTTTCTTTTAATGCTCATATACGACCAACTTTCCAACACAGGCGGCCTAAACGTCTGGGGAAGTATGTACTTCCGTCCGTCCGTCACTTTCGTCTCTGATTATTATGTCTCGGGTATCTGTTCACTGTTCATCTCCCGAAGTGATCAGGATGTATTGTCATGAGTCACTTTATATCCCTAGTGCTCTTGTTAATCTTAAAGACTGAAAACGATATTTCAACCCAATCGTAAGCGCTCCTCTCAGTGCCGTGCCACACTTAATAAAATCAACATTTCGTTAACTCGATTTAGCCAATTGATATAACGAGACCTAAAGCGACAATCGCTGAAATCTCACTTTTAATTCCACCATTGACACATCTAACGTAGTCAGCTTGGTAAAAAGGCTGAACTCACTCGGGGGACATTAATAGACGTGTTAACGAATATTTTCTCATCACCGGTAAATCCAGAAATTCATTATCCACGTACGTGTGTGATACTTTTCAACTACGTTCCATGTTAGAGGTCCGCACTCAGTTTAAGTAGAATTTTAAGTCCTACGTACAATGCACATCTACGTAACTCCGTCTCAATAGTCGACAATAGTCGATAGGAAGAGGTCTAACTTTCTGCTAGCTGCCTGACTGGTACATTTTGCTGAACATTTGTTATTTATATTGATATCTACATTGATTTTTTGGTTTGTATTGTATCTAACAATAGAATTTAAGATTAGCGTAAATAGTCATACGTAAACATGATCCTTATATTCACATTTTATGTGTACAGGGAATGTGTAGACAGTTCATTTTTGTCACAATGTCACATAACAAAGTTAAACACTTTGGACCATTTAAAAAATTATGCATTTACAAAAATCACATTGTTGTAGACACTCCACTTGATACACAGCATACATAGCTGAAGAAAATATTTCGAAAAAGGATTGATCCGCATGACATAGTCACACTGGATTAATTAGGAAGTCCGGGGGTATGCTACTTGAGCTTCGTTGAAATAGTAAGCCTATTGGTGATAATGTGTTAAGAGAGCATAGTAGTATATTGGTGTTGTATATATCAAAAAAGATATATCAGCAATTTTGTTCTGGACTTAAATTATAAGAATACCTCCAGTTACACTCCCCTCCAAATGTTTGGCACGCCAGATCCCTAATCAACTACTTCTTAACGTTGTTTTGCTCTGTTTGAGAGAGGGGAATATTTTATTCCATTCACCGATTTCTATTTAGTTTGATTTTCCAGCTACCTAATGACATTATGTGTTGCAGAGGATTTCTAATTACATATCATCACTCGGTTTAAATTATTAGCCTACTTTTCCGGATCAAGAGACGGGCAACTTAGAGATATGCATTACAATACCGAACGGTACAATAAAATTATACGCATGACTATATCTGGCAACGCTTACTGACGTTTATGATTCTTTGAGACTGCGATGCTTTTTGTCGCATAGTCTTACACGTGCTTATGTGAAAATGGTTTAATTTCTCATTTTCTATTCTGTTGGTTTCTTTGTTTGATTGTTTGCATATCTGATTTCCATTGTTAGTTAATGCTTTTAGAACCTCAATGAATACAACTTACTCGTCAATATTACTTAACTATCCTAAATACATACTGTCGATCGTTGTTTAATGTACTGATCCCTAATAGTGCTACCTTATTGAAATAGCACTTCGACATATATTTCGGATATGACGGTTTAATTGAAGTAGCACTTATGTTCCGAAACGCAAGTATTTATCTTGCAATAGAAGGTTGACTCGGAAGATTCAGAAGACACAATACTGTGTCGGTGGCGCGTGTCATCATATAAACAGGAGCTACGCCCGCTTCATAAGTTTAACAACTTGAAGTACCAGTGGTGTGTTAACGCCTGTTTTAATATCAATTTTGTTTCTCGGTTAGAACAGGTTTGAAACTGATGACAAATTTGATGAATTCAAAAAATAAAAAGCTAATGTTTCTAAATTGACATTGATGCTCTCTTAGTATCGATCTCTTATTGAGGCGACAATATCCGAGCCTACTCTGAAAGCAGTTATAGGTTCTGTTTCGTCTGCCACCTGGGGCCTCTTAGAATTACACTCAATTCAACTACACCTCATTCTCAATAGGCCGACATAAAATTTTCAAATTGATCATTGTAATTTAATTCAATTGAATTCAGCTTTATTTTTACATACTATTATTTAAAAGGTTTTACATGACACCCTCGCGGGTGTATAGAGTATAAAGACATAATGCTGTTTGAATAGTAGGTTTATGATTAACCCAGCAATTAAATAACAAAAAAACTTCAACCTGACAAAATATCACCACAACCAAATGGTTGCGATATAAGAGTGTGACAATAAATTTCAGACGCAAACCGACAACCCCCAACGCCGAATGCCATAACCATTGCTACCCTTTGTATTCGTTTGACTTCACTTCTTAAAAGAGAGCTTCGTCTTCGTCTGTAGTTTAACTAGACTCTCACTGCACGCAGGGTAAACCATTGCAGATATGCAGACAGGAATTTAAAAATGGGGTTCTACTTTTTCCGAACCAATGAAATCGAACCACTCGCGCTCCCTTGTTCGCCGTTACAAAGAACATTAACTGGGTAGGGTTATGCAACGGTCTTATCTCGAGATTTTAAATACAATTGGTATTTAACGTATGTACATGTATCATTGCAGAATATTGATTGGATGTCAATAGAGGGCATAATTGGATATCTTATACTTAATTATTGTTTAACTGGTCAAGTAGGACGTCAGGGTTCAAAATGATGGAGCATACCAAGTATCAGAGGTAACCTGTGAAAAACGATGAAAAATGTCCTTCCCCAGTTGCAAGAACTCATTTATGCCTTGGTTACATTTGCTCCGATTTTCACTAAGGCGCCCGGTCGATTGAGTATTTTGTTCAAAATTGAATACAATATTGAACAAAACACTCAATCGGCCGGGCGCCGGCCGATGGATCGGAGCATAATATGTAATGCCTGGGTCACAATTGCTCCGATCCATCGGCCGGCGCCCGGCCGATTAATTGAGTGTTTTGCTCAATATTGTATTCAAAAATCGGTGTAAATGTGACCAAGGCATAACCAAGGCATTGCCTATATACCTAAAAGATGTGTCAAAGTGACCAAATTGGCGTAAAATAAATTATACCTTTAGTATGCTATTAAACCTTTAGGTCAGGGCTATGAAAAAAACATATTTTCTTTACAACTTTAAAACTCTTCGTACGGTGTGTATAGAAATGAGGTCATCTTTTATCTGCATACATACTAGTATGCCATTTTTGTTGTGTTGTGAGCTGTGTTGTATGGTCTGATGTGTTTTATGGTCAGCTGTGTTGTATGGTCTATGGTAATTTTTGTTGTATGGTCTGCTGTGTTTTATGGTCAGCTGTGTTGTATGGTATATGGTAAGTTTTGTTGTATGGTCAGTTGTGTTGTATGGTCAGCTGTTGTATGGTGAAAATCAACATATGGAATTTAACGTACAAGTGTCTATAATCAAGTCAAATTGGAACTTTTCTGGATGTACAAGTTGATGATTGCATTATCGAATTAATTGTATAAACTTCCAATTACCCAAATGCGAGTAGGTAGTTACCAGTTTCACCACCAGGTGGCTGATTCGGGTCAATTAACATGGCAGGTATATAAGAAAGTTCCCTTAAACTTGAATATTATCAATTTAAGTGGCTCAATTTTCATATAACCCTTATGTGTCTAATACTTATACTAATGAAAATATGTCCAGTAAAGCAAAATATTATCTGTCCACTAAAAGAAAAGATATTTCATTTTTTGTGATTTTATAGCATGGGGTCTATGGGGAATCTCCCCGAGCTAGAAGTCACATTTTCGAAGAAAAGTAATTTTTCAAAGTTGATAAACACTTTTTAAAACCACATTTCTAGATGTAATTTTACATTTAGATTTCAAATATGATATTACTTTGACTGAATTTTGAATTTTTAATGACGTAAATCAAGATTATTTCTACTCGCATCTGGGTTATTGAAATTATAATTTAGCATAGTAAAATAGACACTAGCTAATAGCGACACTGCTAACTGCAAAAGACTGGTATTTAAAGTAATTTGATTTCTTAAATCAACATCAGTACCTGTAAATCATGAAAATTACTGCTCAAACCGTTCAAAATTAAATTTATTTTTTTCACTCCGACTCTTAAATACGAACTCAAACTCGTTCAACATTTAAAGTTGACCCGAATGCTTGAAAATGCGCCAGTACCACCCTGTGCGACGGTGCTCGCAGAAAACGCTCGGTGTGGATATCATACGATTAGAACGAAGTTAACAATCATTCAGAATTTGAATTCGTAATATTTTATAAAGTAAGTCGTGTTGGCTGTTGGGCATTCAGTTATATTCATACATGTGAAGATGCTACCTAATAAAAGGGAAATGATTTAAATACTTGTGTACTCTTCTATAGCAACGCAATGGGCATTCAGCCTTCACTTTCATTTTAGGCGAAAAATAACTATTAGTATTGCAGTGATTTATTTGGTGAAACCCGATCCAAGTCTATCCATGATATGTACACAACTACTGTCCCTTTTCCTTTTTATGAGGTATTATCGACAAATATGAGTATCCATATGAGTAACACTGTGTTACCATTTGTAACACCGTGTTAAAGGGCCATTGTGATCTTAGAACATTTTTGAAAAATGAAACACCCTATATCCCGTCACCGCCCCCTCCCCCCTACGGGCCTGTCCCTGTACCCTTTTCTACACCCCCGTACCCCTGGACCCTTACCTTTAATGAACTGCAGCTGGTAATTCTCTGGAGAAATATCCCTCCTGCTTCTTGTGTCGCAATTCGTATCTCTTTCTATATCTACACTCTCAGGCGATTATTTTAATATTGAATCGCCAAAGTAATCCAACCAATGTTTATAGCTCAAACATTGTGTAAAATAGGGTATATTAATGATATTGAGATAGATCTACAAGACTTTGAAATGGACTTCTCGATTGCATTAGTATTATCAATCATACAAAATACACACGATGCTTTGATTTACCGGAATAAAGTAATGTTAAGGTGTTTGGATAAGTTTGACTAATTGACGCTATTCTTC